GGACATCTGCACGGACATAAACATAGGGATTAGGATGTGGGCAGGGTGCAGTTATTAAATCGGGTGTGATTCTCGCCATCGCCACACAAGCGGTTTCCTTTTTAACAGCTAATCACGTTATTCATAACTCAGACCACGCCCCCCGGACCATAATATTTACGAGGTATGAATTATATAATTTTTATAAGCACGTTCCGCGAAACAGTGCTGCCAATTCAGCTTTTTTCCCGTCAGCTCTGGCTCTTAGTATATAACCATATAGGTAGATATATTCTGGATCAGTATCAACAGTTCCTACGCAAACTAATCTCTCAGTTTTAAAGTTATATGCATGCAACTTGGTGCTCAGTTAACCAGAGCTAGCTTCCTTTCTTTATGGTTTATGGTTTCAAATGGTTTATGGGCAAGACCAGCTTATTTTCTTGGAAGTAGTGGGCACCACTGACCTGAGCCAACGTAGCCTAATTTACTCACACGCCCACGCACACATGTTTACTTTGTATGGACATTATTATTATCATTTTTTATGGACAGAGACACAAAGATACGGACATGGCTATGGACACGGCGGCGAGGAAGGATACGGAGCACCACACGGACAGGGAGCCAATGTCGGAGTCAACGATAAAATTTATTTACGCCCGACGCTGGTGCTCACTTTTGATGGGTTTTTTATGGTCTCGGTCAGGGAGTCATTGCGGCTGGGTAATTCGCTTTCATTTTTCACACCGCCCTTTTTTTGCATTTAGCATATGTTTGGTCAGTTCAGTTGCAAAGCTCATAATTACATGGCGACACTTGGCACCCAAACTATCTCATCATAACTCACACTTTTCAGCAGACACTGGTATCGCTTTTGTATCTTCAGGGTAAAAACCTTCTCGGCTTTGGCCAGCTCGTCTTGGTATTTAGCCATCATTTTTATCTTTTGATCATCGGGATCCACCGGTTGCAGGGGCTGCATGTACGGAAAGTGGCTGCATGGAGAAGTTTTTAACAATTGCTTTTAGTTATAAAATAGGGAAATTAATACTTACGTAGCTTCCATCCTTTTGAGACAGCGCAGAAACTCCTCGTTAGTGGCAAAGTCCTTGCGATGGATGCGACACTTGCCCACATAGCAATTCTTTTTCTTGCCCTATTTAAAATTAGTTTTATTTTAAAAATATTATAGCCAAACGGCTAAGGAAAACACGTACCACCAGTATGCCTGCCGACCTAAGGATTCGATTAGTGTTGTCCTTGCAACTGGGCGGATCGGGATATTTAGTGAGTCCGTGGCCAATTTTGTGCTCTGCTGCTTTCAGCACCGGCTCGATTAGTTCATCAATTATTTTCCCAACTCTCACCAGTTCGTTGCGACATTCTGTGAGGAAACAATTTATTTTTGGCAAGATATGAAATAGTCATTGCACTAGATAGTTCCTTACCCTGCGGCGTACGAAACGCATAGTGATCGCCGGCCGTGAATTTCTCCTTCTTGGGAGGTCCTCTCATGTTGTTGACCCGCATATGGCGGGCAGAGGGAGTTCGGTAGGCTCCAATTAGCTCCGTGGGGGATCCGTGCTGGCGCCTCAGCTGGTTGGTCCACAAGGAGGAACTGGTTCCGCAGCCCGGGTAGAAGATCCGCACCCTGCGATTGCAGTAGATGTCCAGGAGGTGGCTGGTCATTTCATAGATCTCCTGCTCACTGGGACGCACTGCACCAAGCATGTTAAGGGTGTGTCAAATTTTTAATAATGCACGCTGAGTAAATATGTACGCTTATTTATTACCGCCGGTCATCCATTTGTCAATCCAGGGAAATTGATTACAGGCTGCAAGTGAATAAAAAACCAACCAAAAGCAGGTGATGGTAAAAAATAATGCGAAAAATGGAAATTGAAAATCGCATTTAATGTTTGCCCACGAATATGACATGGGTCTGTCTGCACTTTTCGAATTTGATTTTCCCCTTTTTCCGTGACTTTTAACGTGCCTGAAAGGCAGGGCAAATGGGTTTGTTTGCGCAACATGAAATTGTTTTAAACAAAAGTCACGGCAGCAGAGTTCGATTTTTAACTGATTAAACTGAAATTAATTTCCATTCCGGCCTTTGCAAACGGATTCCCCCGGGCCAACTGGACATCTCTGGCTATCTGTGGGTTTGTTTGTCGTATTTGCATGCTAATATCTATTGGCAACACGCTTTTATGCCATTGTGTAACCGGATCCCTTAGCAGACCACGCCCACCGCCCACTGGGACAGCGCTTCCATTCTCGCATTAAATATTAAAAAACTAGACACAAAAATGTAACATTTTTATTACAAACTAGCGGCAAAGTCGAGACTGCAGGGAGATATGGGTTTCAGGTGGGAATATGCGAATAGGGGTTGCTCTTTCTCTCTAATACAGGGAAGTTAAAGAATGCAAAAATAAAAGTTAAAGATATTGCAAATTGGCAAGTGCAAAGAGCTTGCAGTTTTTAAAATAATGCAAGTGAAAGCCACTATTTAGATCTTGCTTAAAAATATTTGTGTTAGTATTCATCATTAATGGACTCCTCCAAAGTAACAAAGCAATTACACATTTTTCAAAGAGTATGCAGCAGGAAAAAACGACAACATAAAAATGTTTCATGTAAATGCTAAATAAAACACTATGATAAACATGTTGTAGAGTCACTCGACCCGACCTTCGTCCTTGCCCTACCACCCCCCCTCCCCCTGCCCCGCTGACTACCCTTGAGTGCCCTGCACTCCCAAAGGATATTCAAATAAATGTCATACGCATTTGTTTTTCGGTTTTACCTTTTTTCCTCATTTCGGTTATAAAATTTTATGTTAAAAGGATAATGTTTGGAATTTTTATGTTTACAGGTGAACAATTTTCCAGCGAGCTGCGCTGTGGGAGTCGGAAAATGGGAAAGCGGGCAACAGAAGGGGGAGGAGCAGCCCAGAAGGAATCGGAAGTTGGGCGAGGCGGCACCTTCAGTAGGGGCATGTTTTCGCATTTAATAAAGTATTAAGTGTTATGTTTTTGCGGTAAAGTTCTCACTCATTGAATAACACGAAATGTGTGGCAATTTGTTTGGGGCATTTACCCAAACCCAGCACCTGGTTTAATGCGCAAATGTTGTTCCACTTAATTGTGGTTTTCCCCCGGAAATGCTCCTGCTTACCCATGGAATCAAAGTTGTACGCATGATCCTTGGCATCGCGCAGCATCTCGAACTGCTCGGGCATGATAATATCCTCCAGTTGCAGCTCCTGCAGACTGTCATCATCGCACTCGTCGTACTCCTCCTTCACATTGTCCAAATCGTAGCGGTGGAAGTCGAACTCCCGATTGCAGTGTCCCACTATTTTGTCAGTCTGCATGTGAGCTAAGTGTGCGTTGAGAAGTAAATATGGGAAGTTAAAGGTCAGCAAAGGCAGCCTCACATATCTTCTCCTGCAGGAACTCCTTGACAGGATCCAAGGGCAGCTGGTCGAAGCCATATGTCAGATTGTAGAAGGGGCAGTCGTTCAGCTGGCGCTTTTCGCCCTTCTTCTGAGCCTGCGAAACTCTGGGTAGATGGAGTGTGCGTTTCCTCCGCAGCTTGTCATCCTGCAGCCGAGGATCGCAATAAGGACGTCGCTCGGGCGCTACCTTCTTCTGCATGGCGAGGACATGGATTGGATGGGATGGTTGGGGGACGGTGTGTGCGTGATCCTTGCGTCGGTGCTGGTTTGGTAACGAATCGTATTCAAAGCCAACACAACGAAACACGATTTCTAGTCTGCTTTCATTTGTTTCACAATGTGCGGGGCATACTTTTCTCCGTTCTAGAAAAATGGAAAACAAAACCCGTAGCTCGGATGCCAAAAGTTTGCACAGCAGCAGCGGCAGCAGTGGAAGCGAAATATTTGCGGGCCAGCGATGAACGTGAAATGTTTACAAACAAAGTCGAGGCCCAGGCATTGGGCACGGATGGCCATGGCAACGGGAACCCGAGGGCCAGAGCTCGGGAACCGGGACGTACGTGTAACCCCGGCAACCAGGACCGGCTGCAAAAGCCGCTGCCGCTGCCGGAGCTGGAGGTGGAGCTGGAGACACCCCGACACTCCGTCAATGCTCGCCTTTCAACGTCCTCCTCAGCTCGATAATATTCGATATTTGTGTCTGGCGAAGGGATGGCTTCCCATGGCTCCAACTGCAGTCACAGCTACATGGAGAAAAATAAACATAATTCGCATAAATAAACAACATATTAACTAAATGTAATTCGCGAAGCCGTGAATTTACCAATTTCATTTTAGATTCTTGAAGACCAAGGAAATGAATATTTAAATTAGTTTTTATTGGGGTTTTTTCTCGTTTTTTCTCACCGTGTAGTCCAGGGCGCATGCAGCAGGCCGCGCTACCTGGCAGCTTTTCTCGAATTGTGCACACATTTTCCAATGAAGCGCTGCAACTGCTGAAAAGCTGGTCCTGGTGATGCTACTGCTGCTCCTGGCATTCTGTGTATTTATTATCCCAACTGTCTGGCAAAGGAGCAGCAGGACGAGCTGGAGCAGCGGGAACAGTGGGAACAGCGGGAGCACCAACTCTTCATTGAACCTGATGATATGTTGACAATGATGGAAAATAATAATACTCGGCCGGGACTCGGTGTGTTCGGAGCTCCCTAATAGGGATGCAGCTGAATGGGGAATCGCATCCATAATGCCACGAGGCAGCCAAGAGTCATGAGCCGATTTCACGAGGAGATTCCATTGCATTTTGGCCGCATAAGGAATTGACTTTAACAAAGACGATTCAAGTGGCAATGGTGTTTTGGGCCACTGAATATGCAATTAGCGCTGCAATTAATTGTGGTAAATTAATTGGAAATTTGATTAACAGTCAATTGCGGTTACCTTAACTTTGTCTTCCCTCCAGGACAACGCCTTTGGCTTTGCGAGCGCAGCAAATGTGGTTGCCACACATGCGAAAGTTAGTGGAGTTCGAGGTGACAAGTCGTGGGAATACCCAGGCATGCAATCCCATCATCGCAGGCGGGGAAAGCCAGGATTCACTATCCAGTATCCAGTATGCAGGTCATCCGCCTGTCACGTGCCTAAGCGCCGCATACAACGCAATGCAGGTGCCACCGACAGGTCCTTCGGGGATCGAGGTACCAGGCAGTGGGCTTTCCGCTGCAGTGCATCCAGAGCCATGCGTGACAAATATTTATTAACTGCCACAACTGCTGGGCATCGGCTTAGAGGCTTCATCTTGGCATTAGAGGGCTAATAAAAAATTGATTCCGACTTCGTCAATTGTCACAAATAATGATTACCACGAATTTTCGAACACATTATCCAGAGCGGGGCATGACACGCATCAAATTGCATTTAGTTTGTCATTGGCCTGCTGGGTGGGTTGACTTTTTCGGCTGATTGGGGGAGTGGACTCGGGTGTGGGCTTGCCAAACAAAGGGCCGTAATGCGACGGCTGTCAGTCACGTGACCTCATTGCTGAAAATATACAAAGGGGAGGGACAACATCATTATTAACAAAGTCAACGAGCAGAGCAACAAAAGTCCGGACTCCGGAGGAGCAGCATCGTTTCCAGCCTGCGAGTATGCAACACTTTTCCACCGGAACGGAAATAAGTCGAATCCAATCATACCCTAAGAAGCTTAACTTCCCGGGGACTTGGTTCCTCGTTCCCGGGGTTTGAGGCAGTATGAAATTGGATATTCCTTGCGCATTCTCATACTCCGAAGAAGAATAAATCATAGTAAAAGAGCATATATCACTGCTGCTGGGGATAAGTGGGGAATATGAAAATATTGCATTGCAACTTTAAGGGCTTTAACTCTTACTACAGCCATTGAATTCCAATATATCTGAATATTGAAGTGCAAGAGCAATACATATTTTTCTACCTAATGTTTTAAGCTAAGAGGTCTTGAAAATGGCATGGAATCCATTCGAGAAGAGTATAATTAAAGAACTGCCTCGTCAAGGCAAAGTTTTCCTCTTTTTTTCTGCCCAGTCTCTTTTTTCGTTTCCAGCTCCATTCCCCATTGTTTATTTGCCTCGATTCCGTGTTTTTTCTCCGTTTGCTGCCATGGCGAATCGCATTTTGTCCACGTGATTAATGGGCAGCAGTGGAAGACGTCGCGACTTGAAAAATTACATTCAAAATAAACGACAGAGGCGTCGTGGTCGGCGTTTTAAAACGGCCCTCACACGTGGGGGTGGGGGGTGCAAGGGGGTCAAAGGGCGTGAGGAGGGTGCTGGGTGGTGGGTGGCGAAGGATAAGGATATCTGGCAGCAGAATTCGTCCTGACGCACGTAAAAGATGCAACAGGAGCGAGAGCAAACACCGTGTGATTTACACGCAACCTACGGGGGGTGGGGTGGAAGGGGGGCGGGGTTGGTCGGGGGTCATAGTGCAAATTAGGGGTTGACGCTGCCGCACAGGCAACGCACTCTGTTGTCAATTGAAAACGTGCCAACAATTTGCAACGACGATTAATCGTGCGACCAAACTGGGAGTTACAATTGCCAGTGGTCCGTTGGTCCTTTGGCAGCTCCTCCTCCTGGTCCCCAGGATCCGAGGATGTCTAGAACCGTGCATGTTGCGACGCATTTGCAGCGCTGTTTGCGACCAAGTTTGCCCTGCGTTTGACTAATTTGTGTGAACTCTATTATGGGTGGCTGCGAATGGGAACGGGACTGGCTATGAGTTTGGAATGAGATCTGGTGGCGGCGGCGATGGTGAAGCTAAAGGTGGTCTGGAGACCAGAGCTCGGACAGACGTCTGATGAGCACTTAATTCCCGGTCGCTAATTGGCTCCAAGACGACACCAAGAAGGACACGCACCGGATGGATGATCAAACTCGGAAGTCAATCGATTTGCGGCATGTGGGATGGGATTGCAGGCAGCTTAAATCACGGCTATATTTATGGTTGGTTAATTAACGGCGCTCGCTTAAACTTTAATCAATTTTCATCGCTAATATTTCTTCTCCTCTTGCTTTATGTTATCATTAATAATGAATATAATTATGGAATGTCAAAGTGGGCAGCATGAAAAAAGCGGCTGAAATACAATCGCTTTATACGGATGCAGATGCAGATAGAGAGATACTGCGACCGGGACGTCATTAAAGGCTTTTGTATGCAATTACATGCCGCATTGAGCAATCATAAATTAGCTTTGCAAGAGTGCGATAAAAAAATATAGCAAAATTCAATTAAATTATAAAATGTGCAAAAATTTAATGCCCATAATGAAAAGTCGGCCCAGCTCACATTCGCATTAATCATAACAATTTGCAACTTATTTTTGTATCTCTTATTTCGCATTGCTAAAAAATTGATTGGCTACTGAAATCTGCCGACTGTATATTCATATTTGTTTTAAATGTCAACAATCATCAATGCAAATTCACTACAAATACAGCCAAGTCTTTCCTGATTTATCCTCGAAACGTCGCATCAATTTCGATCGAGTGGCGTCTGGTGGAGGTGAAAAAATGTGAATTCAAGTGGAAACCTCATGGGTGTCACAGATAGAGAGATATGGATACCTGATAGCCTCTACTCTGCAGCTGACCTTATAAATCATAATACATTAGATATTGAGAAGACTAACAACAACAAAACTAACGAAAAAATAGTACAAATTTTAAAGTTGTAACACAGTAACAAAAGTACTATCAGATTATTTTGGGCTGACATATTGAAATAGGGGCTAGATCCCATTTTGGTAGCAGTTCAAATTCATTAAGCTAAAACCTTGAAATTGGGTTGAAAATTTGCATGTACAGGTCCTGTATGTTCGTTTTTTGATAAGAAAGAAGCCGAAATTTAGTTTTGGAATTAAATTATCGGACGAGGAACTTTACGGGTAGCGAAATAACAATTCGCTTAGCTAAGCATTTTCTGCGCTCTCCGATAGAATTTCCGACCCGGGTAAATATTTGTGAGAATTTCTGCCGGATAAACCAGGAGCCCAACTATGTCCACGTCCATGTGGGTGTTTTTTTCCCCTTGGCCATGTGAGTCTGCGAGTAAATTCTGCAATGCGTAGCTCAAAATTTCCGACACTAAATTGTTATGGTTTTTAGTCTTAAAGATAAATGTACTTAGCCAAAGGACTCAGTTTCGGTGTCGGTTCATGGTAAAGTTTAGCATATGCCCGAAAATATTTACTTGTGAGGAGATTGTTTAGTTAAACCGTAAAAAGACTGGCATTTTGGGGATAGAGTTGCTCTGTCGTTGCCAGAGACAATGTAACATTTAAGAAAATTTAAGCCGCAGGCGACTTAAAAGCGAGACGAGTCCCTTTCTGTTAGTGGTCCCTTTTAGCCGGGCCATATGATTTAGCCATTCTGTTGTTGCTGCTACTGCTGCCATTGTTGGGGATTTGGCTGCCTTTGCCTTTGCCTTTGGATTTTTTACTCATTGTCTTCGGAAAGCCCGAAAACAGCGAGACCAAAGTGGATGGCTGAACTGGAGGAGCAAAGCCCGGGATAGATGGATGGACAGGCAAACAATTGTTGTTCGCATCCCCTGGTTAGCTGGTTAGCTTTGGCCAAGGATCTGCCAGTGCTGTTCCTGCTACTCCTGCTCTTGCGGCTGCCGTACAAATTAGTTTCTAATACCTTCAAGTCAAACAGTGGACCCGGAGACCTTTGCCGGCAGGGCAAACAGACGGCCAGGCGGACAAACACAGTGGATCTGTGGATCAAATTGGGCTTGGTCAAAGTCCTGCGCCTGCCGCCCCCTCATCCCCTCATGCCCTCCAGGAAGTTTGCCGAATCACTTGAGCGTGTTTATGAAATAACCTTGGCTCGAGTCTATATAGTTGGTGGGCGTGTTTGTGCGCTCCGAGCCGCCTAATTACAAAACTCATCCGTTCTCGATTGATTCCACAGCAAATGGTATTTTAAATAGTTTCGCTTAGTTTTCCTTTCGGCCCCATTTAAAGTCCACTTCAAGGCAACAACCACCACCAGAGATTGCATAATGCTGCAGACGCTTTGCGAGGATAGAGTTGGCCCGAAAACAGAACCACAAGACCAAGACCATGTGGCGGGTTTAATGAGCTGACTGCTGATTCTCTCGAATCCTCTCGAAGCCGCTCACCGTCATCCTCCGTTTATCTTTGGCCAAAGTTTTAAAATTAATTTTTAATTGTTTATGCTGCGAAAGTTTGGCTGAGTTAAAGGAGCAAAACATCGAGAAAAATAAAAGCAATTGCGGCAGCAGTAAGAAATAATAAGGATACTTTTGTTTCCAGCTTGCATTGTGTTGTTTGTGCTGTCTCCTCACAGAATCCAGTTTTCATTAGACCAATTAAGGAAGTCAGCTGCTGGTTAAAGATACTGCCTTTACCATCCCTTATATAAGCATATCCATTACTTCTTACACCTTTGAAACAAGCATCTCTTAGCATTGATTTAAAGTTTGTTATGGTACGTGGATTGTTTCGCAGACTTGGAGGTGACCTTTTCCATTCCGATCTCTGAGAATACCCTGACCCTGTATTAGAACCATAAACGCAGCTGCTTTTAACCAACTAACACAGTGATCCGAGACCTTGCCTTGGGCAGAGTTCAGAGCAGATGTGAATGCAAACTTCGAGAGGTGGGCATATTATTCGGGCGATAATCGGGGCAACAAAGTGCCCATTGATAACGATTGTGTATTACCGTAAAGTGGGGTGGAGAACCCATGGGTATTACGGCGGGCCATTTGCATAACATTGGGCTGAAAGAGTTGATGTCGCGGTGTCAGCACTAAAAGCAAAGGCATAAAGCAGCGGCAAACAGGGGCAATGCCTTATAAAAGAAAATTATGCAAATTGCTAATAAATTATAGTGAGCCAGCGAACGACATGTAAAATAATAACAAGCGGACGCCGAGATGGAGATGGAGCTGGAGCTATGAGCTGGGAGCTTTTGGGCTGGAGGAGCGCTCGCGAATTGAATTACAAATGTAAACACAATGCCACGGGACAGCACAGGAGAGGAGAGGAGTTCCAGGACATGCCGGAGTGCTGACAGGACGGAGGGAACATGGACAGTGGAACCGGCACTGCGAAATCATTAAAATAATAAAGCGCTGTGTTCGCTTTCAAGACGAGAACGACAACGAGAACGACAAGGACAACGACGCGATGACGACGATGACAACAGCGGCGACAAGGACATTAACTGGCGAGCGGATAATGGCGAAACTTTTGACATTTATTGTGTTTGTGTCGAATGTTTATTTATGATTGCACGCGGCC